ATCTATCTATCTATCTATCTATCTATCTATCTATCTATCTATCTATCAAGATTTTTTAGAGCAAAAATAGGCCATTAGAATTTTTTCCAAAACATTTCACCTCTGGGAACAAAAGAGCAGTTATTTTATGTGTGTGTTCGTCTGTGAAATCACAGTCACATCAGCTGCCTTGTGGCCTGGAATATGAGAGTGAAATGATCTAGGAGTGATGGGGATGAGTCACAGCTCGTGGGGGCAGTGGAGACGCAGGGTACTTTTACACCCTGCCCATTTAGAGCACTTCATTCTGTGGGACTGCGTGAGTTCTGCCCATAAACAATAAAAAAATCCTGCCTATGAATGTGCCAACGGGGTTGTAAAAGAGGCCGAGATGGTTTTCAGCATGCACTTTAGGAGAAGACTAGATGATTCATTAATTTCTATGAATTGTTCAACCTTTCCCAGTTATTTCAAAACTCCCATTACGGCCCCGATGAGCCTATGTAAGATCTATGACGACTGTAAGACTCATTGTATTTCGAAAAGCAGGACAAAAGTGGCAAACATTGGACGTGCATGCTCACATGAGCTGGCTGTCCTCGTTGTAGGCCAGAACTTGAGTGACGTCCCAGTCTCCAGACGTTATGGACTGGAGCGTGTCTGTACTTGTGTTGGGCTTTGGGAGGAGAGAAGAAATGTGACGTTATTTCTTTAAATCTTAAACAAAAAACACTTCCAATGCTGTTACTGCTCATCTGATTAATCTAAATAAGGTCTTATAGGTCAGACAGCTACAGAAGCCATGGGAGTGTGAGGCATACATCTTCACATGGGTGGAAAACTGTAATGCACATGCCAATACCTTGGATTAATCAAGATGAATAATGCGACCAAACACACAGAGCTTGTAAAATAAGCCTTGTCAACAGGGCGAGTGCTCAGATGTCTACTTTCCTCTCTTCCTTGGTTCCCACCCTCCCTATTTCCTGCAGTAAAACCAACCAGAAGACTGGTTTTTCACGCTTCACTTTATTCCTCATACAGGAACAGCACAACTTCTGTCTGCTGGGCGCCGCTGAAAGCGTGAAGCCCATCCGTCTGCTGGCAGTGGCTACGGCACATTGCACCGCGCTGCACTGGTAATTCTGAGCGTATTAAAGTGTTAAACGTGTGAGGGTGCCGTAAAATGCTGAAAAATAGGGGAGGAGGGACTGGCTTAAGGGGAGGTATGGGCCTGATTTTATTCCACCTTCAGGCTGAAACGTTTATATCCTCATTTTAGAAGACTTCTCACTTAAGAGTTTTGTATTTGGCCTTAACTTAAGTAAATTCATGATTTTCAATCTGTTAACTCTGAATTATATTGCACACCATTCTTTTCCATCAAGCTGAACTGCTGTGGGTTTAATGTGATAGTATCAAGTTGAATTATTTTGGTCTGTTAGATGCTCAGATGCATCTTTAATGTCCCATAACCTTGGCAGTACATTAAGTTGTCATCAGAAACCATAATAATTATCTATTAAACAATAACCATGGCAGCGAAATCCAATTTCTTCGATACATTCCTTCCCCTTTAACTGGATTCTGTCAGATGTGCTTAAATAAATGTCCTCTAACCTGGGAGATGGACATGGAGATGTGGAAGAACTTGCCCCGGCCTCCCTGGGGAATGGCCCGAGTGAAGAAGAGCTTGAGGCCATCTTTGGAAAACAAAGGCTCCTCATCCTGAAGTCACACAGAAGGTTATTCAGATTTGTGTTTGAAGAGTCGGCTGAGATTAATGGCTTAGTAAATACAACAATTACACAAAAACAATTACCCCATTATGATTTACAGAGACGGCATGCAAAACCACACAAAACACTCTCGTGATCAGTTTAAGACTCAAATCTAATTAACATGCAACGCTGATCTGTAATCAGGCAAGAAATATGAGAGAACAAAGCTCGTAAAGGGTGACTTTAATTTATTGACTCTCACAGTCAGCTTGATTCATCAAACACTCCAAACGCGTCTGAGGCACTCACCTGCCTATGAAGCCATCCCTCACTTTCGTCCTCGTGTTTCTGTGAGAAAACAGCAGATTGTTTAAGCCGTCACGTGGAAAAAAAAGACCAATAAAACCCACCGGACCCCACCTTGGTGCAGACTCCGGTCGTGGCCTCGCACAGGGTGAGGATGGAGATGTTCTGTGCTCTGTTCAGCCAGTTAATGGCCAGTTTGGTGGTGGTTGCCCACTTCACCATGGTCACATAGTACTCACTGGAAAAAAAACATTGAGAAGACACTCCACTTTCAACGTCCACAATCAACACGGGCACATTCAATCATCAAGAGGTGCCGACATTTTTCCATTAAAATGCAGATGCTACTGAAACTTTGAGAACAAAATGGACAAAATAAAGCGTGTGAAGAGACTCAATCTGAAGGCAGAATGAAAATTAGGTATAAACATGATGCAATAGAGGTAATAAATGTAAAAGAACTAAACAGAAAAAGAGAGCTAAATGAAGAAAAAGAGTTGAAATTATAGAGTAGAACATCCTATTATACACAGTATACAGAGCCACATTAAACATTTAGGGGGGGGCAATGAGGATGTAAAAGCTGATAGTTTCTGCACACATTTGAGTCCAAAGTTGACAGTTTGTGGTGGTTTTTGCATTAAAATGAATCATTAAAAACATACAGATCATTTACACCATTCAGCATCAGGATATTAGAATACAGGCTTAAAAATGAGAAAACCAGGATCCTCTTAGGGGAATGATAGGCTGGTGTTATTTTTTGCTTTTAAAGTGCGTGGTGTCATTAAAGAAAGGAAATTTCATGGCGAAATCCAGCCAAGAGCAGCCCGTACACAGTAAAAAAAAGGGCTGTAATCTCCTCCCCCAAAGGAACAGAGCTCAGAAAAAGGTGCTGAAAACATCCGTCAGGATATGAATTTTAAAGATCTGAAACCATCAGGAATGGCTAATGGCGGCTTCAGACCAAACAGGAAATGAAGCAATGTGATTGCATCTGAAATCAATGAAAAGATACTTAAGCTTGTTTTCATGTCGGCCGAATGGAAACATGCTCCTGTACTGCAGCAGAGATTTGAGCCTGAGAGAAAAAACCCGATGCTTTGTTTCTCCTAAATAATCCAGTGCAGTATACTGTCCAGTACAGCGAGTGTATAAATCATGTTGAGGATTTACACTCAAAAAGATGCAATCATTAATGACATGTGATCTAAATATCTAATTCTGCTCTCATTATTCTCAGGGAAAAACTACGTTTACACAATTTGTGCTCTCTCCTATTCTTAAACACTAGATTAATAAAAATAATAGTAAAAATTTTAATTAACAGGCCTGATAGGCTGCCCTGCTGGTGGGGTTTCTGTAAATTTCAGAGAATATTTTCAAACGGATACCTTTTGCCCCAAATAAATCAAAACAGACAATAGGTTCCATTTTATTGTTTCGCTTGAAGGCAAGCCCATGCTCCACTCAGCAGAGGCAGTTTTCTATGCCTCACCCGATCCTGGGGTCATCAGGCCTCCTCATCTCGATGGTGTGCAGGGGGCCGTTCAGGTTTACGACATACAGAGTGATGACAGGGTTTTCCTCACCGGCCTGGAAGGGATGAGAATAAACAAAAAACTGAGCTTTGAGGGATATACGGAAACATTTACCTTCAATACACAAGATAATGTGTAAAATACATTCCAAAAGTGTCAGCACAGAGCTGGAGAGAGGCACTACCTTAGGGTAGTGATACTCTTTGCCCATGGGGTATGGTGAGCCTGTAAACATTGGCAGCTCCATCTTGGGCACCAGGGTATCGTTGATGGTGGCGTACGCTAGCCTGGCACCATCCGGAGACCACCAGTGGGCGATGTGGGAGTGGAAAATCTCCTCTGGAAAAGTTAGAGCAAAAATATCAGTTGTCACGATTGAGAGATGGCTGCCCGCCAGCACCGACATCAGGCTTACAAATGGACAGGCATTCAGGGCAAAGACTTATCTGATGCCGTGCGGAGGGGCTCATTATCTGCTTTTGTGATGCTTTTATTCATTTTCCTTTTTTAGTTTTGGGTTATCAGAGCAGATGTCGTGTTTGGATGCTGAGCGGCTTGCATCACAAGCTGGTGACTGAAGCCAACATCACCCAGCAGAAAGGAAAAAAAAAAGCATTCAATCAGACGATGGTGATCAATAACGTTACCCCTGTCAAAACAGGTCAAACTGGCCACAAACACAAAGCCCACCTCTGCCTTTATCACCAGTACAGTACACTTTCCTGCCCGGCGTCCTGAATTTAATCCGCATGTCCCCTTTAAAGCAACACGCAGAAACAGGCTCAGCACCAAGTGCTGAGGTCATAAATCACAACAGCTTTTAATCTCAGCGCAGCCTGTTCACCAAAATAGAAACAGGCTTCATTTCCTCGAAATGAACCAAACAGCAGTTCTCTCTGCAGCTGCAACAGCCGCGCTGATAACTTTTGGGCTTGTTACTGCCCGTTTTCAGCAAGTAACTCGCCTCAGCTCATTTCAGATTTGTGACCTGGAAGGTCCCCTGGAGTCCCATGTATTGCTGTTCCACACGCCGAGAGAAAAAACAATGTTGGGCGGTGGTAACCCGGCAGCTTCGCTTCAGTCACAGCTCTCTCTCTCTCACCACACACCTCAGTCATTTCACAGTGACTCATTTGGAAATTATGCAAATAACAGCCCTCTAAGGGGAACTTCTTGACAATATAAAGCATGGCCTTGATACTCCTTCATTATTCTGTCTGTAGCAACAATGCAGTCGAAATCTAAATCGTCTGACTTGTTACTCTGGCTTTTCACTGGCTGCATCTATATCAACTTTTCGCAATTAAAATGTAATTAATGCTGTTTATATGTCAGACTGAGCTTTGGGGAATGAATAAACATC